GGAGGGGAGCCGTGTCCGGCGTCAAACGATGCAGTTTCCTTCTCCGTAGCGCCGGCACTTCATCACCTTCAGGTAGGTCTCCACCTTGTGCAGGTCCTTCTTGAAGCAGGAGAGCAAGCTGTAGTTCTTCAGCAGGGCGTCCTCGCTGCGCAGGTGGATGTCGAATTTGTCGTAGGTGGGTTTGAGGATCTGGAGACCCCGCGGGCTTCGGTCCTCCAGCTCCTGTGAGAAGATGAAGAGGTGCTGGGGGAGCCCCTGGGGACGAGCATCCTCCAAGGGGTCCGTTGCCAAGGCTCCCCTCTGGCTTTAGAGGGGGTTGAGGGTTTTTCCCCCCCACCCTTAATCGTTTTTCAAACATATTTATGAGTTGATGCGTTTACAGAAAGGGTGATGTTACAGAAATTGCTGCCAGTGAGAAAGGAGCTGGGCACGAGGCTGCAGGGAGGGAGGAATGTGAGTTTTGGGGTCTTAAAATAAAGGAGGAACTTGCAGGGTCTCTCTGTACCTACTCTGGCAAAGGAGAGGGGGAACCAGGCAAATAAATCTCTCTCTTCTCTCACTTTTCCAGTGAACAAAGCTCTAACCCAGACCTAAGCCACGTGCATCTGGAGCTGAGAGAACTGCAACCTGCCACTCCTCCTGCTCTGTTTTGCCTAACAGCTGGCACAGTAAACAAGGTGGTTTTTGTTAAGAAAACCATGTCAAAAGTGGATGAAGGGTGATTATTCATCTAGTTTCCATCTACTGCTTCCCCATGCCAAGCACACATCAAATGGAGAGCAAAATCTGGACATTGCGCTGATATATATACCTACTTACTCAGGCTGAAATGCCAGGACTAATTTCTATTTTAACTCTCAGGGCTTGACTTTCAGGGTTGTTTAAATGCTGGAAGATGCAACTAATTGTCCGTATCCATTTCTCACAGATATAAGCCACAAAGACCTGTCAGATGTTGGCAGATAAACTCAGTTATAGTGTAAGCAAAACTGAAAGGGTATCCTGGCAGATGATGAGAAATTTCATTTAAAACAACAAAACAAAAATGAAGAATGACCTTCAAAATACATCGCTCTCAGCTGTCTGGGTGCTGCATTAACGTAAGAGAGAAACATCAGAGCACGAGCTTCCATCTATACACAAACTTACACAGGTTATTTTCATAAAATATCATGAGCCTGTAAAGCCAGGTTGCGAACCTCACAAAACAGACTCTAAAGTATTTTGTGTGGAGCTGTAACAAACGTTACATTGCTGTTTGTACAGCAGATTTAAGCAACTGAGTGTTCTTTGGTGCTGGGAAGACTTTTGGGTCTGGATTGCTACCTATCTGAGTGGTTAGGGCAGCGCTATTAACATTTGTTATGTTTTCTTATACTCCCCAGTAGTGATCTTGTGCATCGGGGTGTCACGATCTTATTATCTTACGGTAAGCAAAGTCCAAAGAATGCCACTGGTCTTCAGAGTGGGGGTTGGGGAAGATTTCTTTGGATCCCGTGGAAGCCCCCGAGGGCCGAGTGCCCTGTGTCTAGAGGATCTCTGTTATTCCGTAGTCATGCACGTGCTCCAACTTACCCTCATCAGCGCTTGGATCCCTTCTTCCAGGTCCTTTAGTTTTTCATACACCCTGTCTGAAGTTCCAAAAACCAGGTTGTTTGTGAACACCTTGCTTAGGTATTGCACCGGGGTCAGCCAGGACTGGATGAGAACCAGTGAAAACCGAAGAAGCTCCATATCCTGAAATTAAGAAAAGAAAGGGTCAAAGCTCTGCAGGTGAGGTGCTTGGTAGGGTTACCTGTGAGTCCTGCTCCCTCTGAAGCAGCCTGGGCTGACCCAGAGCTGTGCCGCTGCTCCTGTGGCTCCAGCAGATACAGACACATTTGTAAGCTGAGGAACACACCCAGCCATGTGCCCTGCACAATGTTTTTTCTCCTCTTTGGGGTGGGAATATGATTTATAGTGTAACCCAGAAGAGTCTTGCTTTCTTCATGCAGGGTTTAAACAGTGAAAAAGGGACAGGAGGAATGAAGCACCAAAGTGCTCACACATGGAAGCCCTCTGTTCCCATAATGAAGTGCAGCTGGGCTCTTCAAACAGGTCTCTGCTTGCCCTGAGGGACAGAACTTACTGATTTTTGCTGGGCATCATCCTTCCCCGTGGGAGCAGGGATGGTTTCCGAGTAACAAAATGCTGCCTGGGAATTCTTGGTGTGTCTTTGGTCCTCTGGAATATAGGTGCGTTCCTGTGGAGACACCCCAAACACAATCAACTCTGTAGTGAGAGAAGACCGTGCACAATAACCCAAGCTGTCCTGAACAGTTAACTCTTTGCAAGAAGTAAGTGTGAGAGATGAGGTGTCTCTGTACAGGGGTGGCAGGTAGGAATAGGAGTTTGTATGTTGTCACAATAGCTACTGGACCTAAACATCCAGAGAGAGGAGACGGGGTCCAGGCTGATAGACGTAACTTGTCCTCTCTTGTTAAGACCCTTTCCCTCCACCAAGAACTGACAGAGAAGACACCACTAGTTGAAAAGTCTCCGTGTGTAGCAAGTTACATAGTCCTGAAACCTGTTTAGGAGGTACCTGGAGGCCACAACACTTACGAACTCCTTGTACGTCTCAGCAGCCAGGAGGTGAAGGTGCTGAGCCCTCAGCACGGCGTTGGCAAACAAGTTGGCAAGGGGCATGGCCGGGAAGGTGGCAGCTTCCTGCGGCCACTGCAGTCCCAGCGTGATCACAGCGATGAAGAGAGGAGAAAACCATGACCCTGCGGCAAAGCGGAGAGGAAAGGTGTTAGCAGTCCTTCAGTGACTGGGCTGGGGAGGGGAATTAATTCCCAGCCTCTTCTGTCCTTGCTCACCTTCCTTGCTGTTTTATTGGATTCCGTGTGTGAGTTTAGCCCTCCCCAAAATCAAATGAAACCCCGTCCCCTTTCACTAGATGTGCCCTCGGGACTTGTGCTGCTCTCAATGCTCCGAGCCGTGTTTTCCAGGCTGAGGAGTCATCGTTGCTCCATGACAACTAGAGTGTGTCCCTATGCTCTTCCCTAACATGCTCAAGTTTTTCCGTAGGCGTGAGCAAGCAGGGGATGGTGAATACAAGACGAGGGCCTGGGGCTCCCTCACTTTAGCCTTGGTTTACGCCGTGCTGCTGACGTGAAGCCGGCTGTCTGCTGTCACTGGGCTGAGAGCTGATGACGTTACCTGTGCCGTGACCGGCTCTCTGGGACCCACCTCTAGGGTTTGGTGATCTTTGCCAAGCCTAGAGGTTTTCAACCCGCGATAATCTAACTCACACCAGTGTCCAGCTGTGCTTGCAGAGACCACAAAGTTGTCTCAGACAAATAACCTTCAGTGGAGGAATATCCTGGAGCCTGTAGGACTTGGACATATGCATTAGACATCATCCTGATCCCTACCTTAAGCCTTGAATATGAGTTTTGATATCTCTGCCAATATTTATGTCAACAACAATTAGTCTAACTGTGGCTTGACCTTGTTCTTCATATTCTCTGCTCTCACCTTGCCCAGTTCATGCTAAAGGCTACCTAACTTAATTCATGGATTAAAATCACGCTGCAGGCAAAGATATTCTTTCTTATTAATTTATAAGTTGACACATTTTAATTCAGGGCTGGCACTGCATGTGTACAGCCCACTGGAGTACCACCCCTTCGTCATCTCCCATCACCCTAAGCATGTGGCAGCACTAGCAATCCTTTAAAACCGAAATAAAGAGAAGTACCTGGAGCCATTTCTGCCCGCGGAGCTGCTCAGGTGTGGTTTGGCAGTGAACGTTTCCTCCTTTCATCTAGGCTGATGAAGGTAACTACGGAGCCACCCCTTATATAGCAGGGGGTCTGTTTAAAATGTATATGTGTGATCATGATCACAACAACATCTCTATATCTTCTCCATGCATAAATGCACGAGTGTTCACGATGGCGCTACCTCATCGTAGTCATTTATACATGGATGTAAAGGTTGGGGAGGTTGTTTGCCTAGGGATGAAATCAGCGCTGAACGATTTCGCCATATTCTGCTGTTTATTGCAAAGACAAGTCTCTTGATCATTTGAAGACCCATCCCAAATGAAATCAGTGCTTCCACACAGTGGAATTTGCTGTGTCCACCTGATTTTCCTGCCTGATTCTGCAGCCTTGGCCCACAGTTAACAGAGCTGACTGCCCAGCTCAGGAGACTTCTGGCAATGGGGGTGTTTTCCCTTTATGTTAGTGGGGATAAAGCTGAGTGGATGTTGTCAGATGAATCCTATTTCCGCTGAGTGATTTCTTTCAATTTCTACCAAAATTTCAAAAGTTCAGCAGATGGTTTTGATGACCTGGTTTGCCAAAGAGCTGTCACACCCAGGTGCTTGTGGAGCTACTGGCCTGCCCACTGCAAATACGGGTGCCAGAGCTCTGGGGGGTTTCTCCCGTCCCCAGCTGGACAGGGCCATGAGAAGATCTGGTTATGAGCATCTTCCTGCTCTTGCCTGAGATGCAAATGTGAAATATCTCTGGATTAAGCAAAGGGCTGGTGTGGAAAGGACATAGAGGAGATGGACAAGAGGAAGTGTCACAGCACGCCTATCCCTGCTTTTCAACAAAACGAGACAGAACTTTGCACAAGCAACTTCATGAAGGGGGGCTTAAAGGACTTTTATACCCCATAAAGCACCAGTTGCCCCAAACCACTCTGGTTTGGCCTTTTGTCCTGGGTTCAGGGCCTGCTCCCTGGTGAGGAGTGGTGATCTGACTCCCCTGGGTTTGCCGTGCCCCCCGGCATGGCTCCGATTTCCCAGAGACAGCGTCATCGCCGGGGTGGCTGGGGCAGAGGGTGCGAAAGCTGGTTAATAAACATGCTGGGGAGAGCGTGGTGTGTTCCGAGAAGCCTTCGGGTGTTTGCTCGTGGTGGTGTCGCAGAATAAATGTCAGTCCCTAGGGAAGAGGGAACAGTGGGTCCTGCAGCTATCAGGTATCCCGTCACCCAATAGCCAGCAACATCTGGGTGTGTTTTTCTACTCCAGATCGTGTTTAAATATGTCAATATTTGTCAGAGAGGAGCAGAGCTCTGCTGCCTGTTAATGATGATGCTCGACCGCTGCGGCTACGTTGGTACAGCACCCTGCACCCAGGGCCTCCCCATCACTGGCTGCCCCGCTGCCTCTCTAGCTCTGTTAGGAAAAGCATGGTGCTAAATTCACTTTTTTTTTTTTTTATGCTGCAGCCAAGCACGGAGATGCCGGGATCATCCAGACTCTGCGGTGCCCCTGAGGCTTGGTTTGTCCCCGATCATCTCTGAGCGTTAAATGAGGCAGAAGCGTCGTGGAGAAGGCAGTGCCTGACTGCGAAATGCTGGGCTGGGCAAACACACGCCACTGGCACAAGTACAGTTGCATAAGCAGCTCTCACATATCAGTTCTGGCTTTCCAATGCTTGCATTTGCAACCCAGAGAAACATCTCATGGTGCTCTCTAATTTCCAAGCTCTTTTTCTTTTTTTGAAAGAGGAAGAAACCTGAACCCTCAATTTTCTTCCAGGTGGTCCCACATCCACCCTCTTTATCACCTCACTACCACCAGCAGCATCTAAACAAGTGAAGCAACTTCCTTTGCAGTTGTGTGTGCTCCCTGGGTCCTCCTGGGGTGGTTGTGTGGAGAGGACCTTCCCAGGCTGGTGGGCGAGCTGCTGCCGGGGAATCCCGAGCGCGGAGCCAGCTGCTGGCCCACAGCCCAGGCTCTGCACTTCGGTGGGCAACGACGTGCTTGACAGAAGTTTGAAGTGATGGTTGACCGCCTCTGCTAGCTCACTGCTCGGGAGGTAAATGCTCCTTTTCACGTCAAATTGATGGGTTTCATTTACTGGAACTGCAGCTTCTCAGTTTCAATGAACCCGTTTCGAAAGATGAGGCTGGAGAGGTCCAGGATTGCAACCCAGCCTGCCTGCCCGGCCATCCTGCTGGTGGCAGGGGTACAGAGCAGGACAAAACACAGAACCTGGACTGGATAAACTGAAATATATTTATTTACATTAAATGCATTTTAAATACGAACCTATCTCAGTATAGAATTGCCACAACCCCTATCTCTGGGCTCCCTAGAAACTACTCTAAATATTTTAAATAAAACACACTCTAGAAATATTTACTTGCTTCTGGCATTTTAAAGGAAGACCCTGGGCTGAGAGGGTGGCCAAGCGGCAAAGCAGAACTGGGGGCGCTGAAACTGCTTCCGACATTGATGGCTTCCTCTCCAGGTGCAAGCGGCAGATTCTCCTTATTTTTGTATGGTTTGGTGAAGTCAGTCGAGCGAGTTGTTTACGCAGAGCTGAGAAGGCGGTTGGGAACTGGGAGGGCCAGAAGACTCGCCTTCCTCTTCCATTTCGTCACTGAGAACAAGGGATGGAGGGATGAGCTCTGCTGGTCCTAAAATCTCGGCAAACGTGGAAACCGGGAACAGCCGGTTCACTCCTCTCACTGTGACTACTCCTTTCTTTAATTAATCAGTTTTATAAGTAAAACATGTTTAAGTAACATCTATATACATGCACACGCAACTAATTCGGGGTAGTTTTATTTAACTAGTAAAAATCAACCTTAAAATGCTGGGTTTGTGCTATTTAGATCGAATCCCAGTTTTCCGTGAAGGTGCTTTACTGGTAAACAACAACCATTCTGTTCCCTACTGAAAAGCCCTCTTTGCTCAGGATTTTACCCTCCCTTTCCCCCCGGCTGGTTTGGGAAGCAGAGCAGTCCCGGCTTCCCCTCCTGGGGGCTCCAAATGTCTCAAGTGAGAGGGACACGGGGGCCCTGGGGTCCCTGAGGAGGGACAATCAGCCTTGTCACCCCCCTCATCCAGCCAAACCCACCATGCCGTGCTGGCCGTGCCTCTCTGGCCCCCCTGAGCCTTGGTATTGGGTGCTCAGCTGACCCTGAGCCCCATCGCCCACGCAGCTGCTGCCGCTGCCCTACCAAAATAGCTTTATTAACAAAACCAATTAGCTCTGCTCTGCTCCTCTCCAGATGTTTTTTTTAGCTGCTTCTTGCAAGACCAGATGCAGCTGGGAGCGCAGCTCCTGGCCCTGGGCCTCGTTCTTCTGCTTCGGTTCCTGGCGATGGTCGTTGTCTCTCATCCCAAGCTTGGGGCCGTGGAGGTTCCCCTGTGCGTGGTCAGTGAGAGTTTCCAGGAGATCCCCACGGCTGCTCTCAGCTTTACATCCCTGCCTGTGCTCAGGGCCCTGGTGAGGTGAGGTTTGGTTTCTATCTGAGCCGAAGCCATGAGAGCCATTCCTGATTCCCAGGGCATCCCACCAACACCTGCGCCAGGGTTATGGGACACCCTTGGGCTGGGCACGGCAGGATAGAGCAGGATGTAACTTTATCCATTACCTTTATTAGGACTTGAAAAAGCAGTTGGACATTTGTGTCCCACGATTTACATCTGTCCCATAGGTTTTGAGGTGGGATGTGCCCTCATCATAGGGACATCCTTGTGACACAGCCCAGCTCTTGTCCTCTGGCAAGGAGCAAGACTTGTGCGAGACCCTCTGGGTGAAACCTGTCTCCCCAGCTTTTCCTGTAGTCTTTGGGGAGAAAGAGGTGGTTTTGGAGGATTCTCCATGTCAGACAACTGCCAGCTTAGCCTGCTGGACACATTCAAGGCTTGAGGGCTGAAGAGTGGCCCAAAGTCTGCTTCTCATAGCACCCACGTGGTGCTGCTCACCTCAGCTCCTCAGGATCTTGCAGCCCAGGAGGGTCCTTGCAGCACAGAGAGTGATCATGCGTGATCCTTTCTGTCCCGGGGATGGTGGGGCTGGAGGAGACCCAGCACCCACCCTGCTACTCCCCTTGAATTAACTGTGCAGGAGTTCAGCACCGCGGTGTGGGGGCTGCCCCGGGTTTGGGGCCAATTTGCTTGTGGAGGGGGGGGTTGCAGGTGGCTTCTAATTTCTACAGAGGCTTTAGGGGTTCGTCAGTGCAGCAATGAGAGTGACAGCCAGGGCAGGACAGCCTTGGTGGGCACAGCCCGCACACAGCAAAGCCAGCACCCAAGGGCAGCAAGACCCAAGCTCTGTGCGAGGCCACTGGAGGTGGTGGACGCAGCCCGGGGTCGCCGCCTGGGATCCAGGTGCCCGTCAGAGCCACAGGCAAGGGCGAGAGGTTGGAGCCCGGCCCCACGGGTGGCGCTCGGGGGAGCCCCGGGCAAGGGGAGGAGGTTGGAGCCCGGCCCCACGGGTGCCGCTCGTGCTGGCCTGGCAGTGGGCACAGGACCCCTCACTCTTCTCCTGGGTGCTCCCCAACTGTCCACTTGGCCTTCACGTCCCGGAAAGGAGTGATGTCTTCGTAGGTGGCCATCTGCTCCACCTCCAGGCCCTGCAGCAAGAAGAAGAAGGTTGAGACACGGGAGAGGGACTGTGGTTCCCTCCGTGGAGCATCCTCCATTTGGGATCCCTAAGGTTCTTCCCCTAGAGGCAGCTTGTGAGGGGGGAGAAGGTGGAGACAGGCAGCTGGATGTGCTCAGAGCTTGGCTTGATTTTACGAGCAGCTCTTTACAGTTGACCTGCAACAGGTGCTTGGGAGGAAGATGTCGTGCAAAGGCTGGTGGTACCCAGCAGACACCCAGCAAGGGCACAGCCAGCTGTTTCAAGGCTCAGGTTGATATTACAGAGGTACTTCTACAACTAAAGCAGCATTACCTCATAGGTGTGGTCCTCCTCCAGGCTTTTCTTGCTTTCACCCTGTGAAGAGTCACAGATTGGGTGTCAGCATCCACCAGGATCCCCCATCCCCTGTTCCCAGCCTTGTCCCCTCATGCCAGGTCCCACCACTTCCACAAGCAAATCCATGCAGTCCCACACATCAGTTTGGACCCTTATTTTCCCACTTCAGGTATCCGGGCTCCCATGGAACATCCCCAAACCCCCTGCCTGCCCCTCCCCACCCCTAGTAATGTCCTGCCTGGGATGCGGGACACGTCTGTGAGCACCACAGCAGCAAAGCTGGGGACATCCTCCCTGCTGGAGATGCTGTCACTTACTTTATCTCTTAAGAGGAACATGGGGACACTGATGAAGATGACAAGCAGGATTGACTGGATGATGATGATGGCGTCTTTCAGGGTATTCCTGTTCTGGATCTGCTGGATGTTGCGGTGACCTGGGAGCAGCAGCACAGAGAGAGCTCCAAGTCCCACCTCCGTGCCAGGCTCCCAGGGCATGAGGACAATTTTGGCATGGCCATGGGTTCCTATGTCAGCAAGAGCAGGTGGAGGGGACCAGGGTGACAGGTATCTCCCCTTGGGAGAGACCAGAACATTTTAAACTGCCCCTGGGGCTGGCGCTGGGTACCAAGTCCAGGATAAGCCACCCTGGGGAGAAACTCCCCACTAGCCAGGGCTAAGTAAAATCTGATTTATTAGGACACTGCAGTCCCTCAGATGGGTTTCTCTGGGGTGGACATGCCAGGGCAAACTGAGGGAGGTTGTCCTGCTGCCTGGTGGCTGGCAATGAGCAGAGAAACCACTGTGGTGCCATGGAGCAACTACAGTTGTATCTGAGGGCGTTCCACCAGCATGGGAAGAGGTGGGTGCATAGGAGCATGATGTGAGGGGGAGGAAGGGTAAGAGAAGGAGGCAGAGAATCTCCCGAGGTGCATGGAGGACGGGGAGCTCCCACTCACTCATGACTCTGAGCTCTGTCCCACACAAGTGTGGCCGCTTATTCTCTGCCGTGAGGTTCTTCCTGTCACACACGTAGATGCCGTTGTCCTCGTAGGTGATCCTGAAGATGGTGAAGTTGATGAAGGAGTCATTCTTCTCAATGCTGTAGCGGGAGGTGTTGCGGTCCAGCTCGTAGAAGTCATCGCTGTCCATGGATGTTTTGTACCATTGCATGCTATCGGGCTCCTGGGTGTAGCAGATGAAGTAGACGGGCATGTTCTTCTTGGCCGCCACGTAGCGTGGCTGCTGCTGCACCACGGGGCACTCACTGTCTGCCAGGGAAAAAAGGGTGGTCATGGCGAGCAGGGACCTGATGCCCAGAGAGCCGCTCCCATGAGATCCCCTCCCAAGCATCTCCCGAATCAAGAGCTTTCTAATTTCATGGATTATAGTTTTGTTCAGGTCAATAGTCATTGTCTTGGGGGTAGAAATGGGAGACGTCTGGTCAAAATGTGCTTTTAATGGAAACTCCAATTTCCCATGGGAATGGCTTCACTTGAATGATCTTTCGCTGCTCCCACCCCTCCCTATGTCCATCTTGTTAGTCCCAGCTCAAAATTTACAGCCAGTATTGGCATGCACCACAGAGCCTTTGCTAGGACAGGCCTGTCTCCCAGCTGGCTTCTCTCACATTTCCCCATTTTTTTTGCATTTCGCTACATTTTGTGTTTTTGCCTGTGTTTTGACACAGAGCTGGTGAGCCTGAGGGCTCGTTTGGGTTGCTGACTTCATGCTTAACACCCTGTGGGTGGGAATGGCACAAACGCTGTGTGCATGAGCCTGGTGTCTGGTCCGATGGCACGGCTTGTTCATGCAACGTGCTCTGCAATGGCAGAGGGAAAACATCTGTGTGCTTGGGAAAGACAAAAATGGATCCGGCTTTGCAGAGAGAGAGAGCAGGATGCAGGGCTGGGGAAATGCCATGAAGGAAGTCACAGCCTGGGAATTGCCTTTGGGATGGAGAAGACCTGTGGGTGATGGGACATGCTGAGCTCTGCAGGAGATGGGTACCTTCGTGGTATGGCTGGTGGGGACGCGAGGGACCCTGGGGAGGAGAAAAGCCCAAGGGGTGTGAGAGGTTACCTGTGCTGTTGCTGGTGCTGGTGCTGTTCTGGTCTGCTGAGATTGCACCTGCAAGACAGGAGAAGGGCCCTGAGACAGCGGCCAAGAGCTCATGGAGGATGTCCCATGTGGCATGATGTGTACCATGAGTCCTTTGTGCCCACTCCGGGATGGAGTGCTTGGGAGAATTAACCAGAGCCCCACTCAGAGCACAAAGGGCAGTGCAGGTTTGGGTACAACCCCTTGTATTTCCATCCCATCTCCTGAATCTTCTCCAAATTTCTTTCTGGTTGACAACCCAGTGAAACCTGCCTGCGTGTTTAATACTCCTCCTAGGCTGGCACCTCTCAGAAAAGGTTCAGAAAGACTCGTGCCTCTTTATTTACACTTTCCATTTTATGAATCAACCAGAAACACTTTCCCTGCTGAGACACGCCTGGACTTTGAGCCCTGTGACAGCCTGGAGTGTTCTCAGACCTCAAGACCATGCAGATCCCTGGGACAAGGGCAGGATGAAGCTGTGCGACCTGCGATGCAATGCAGGAGGCAGGATGAGGCAGTGCCCCCCCCAGCACCCCTGGGTGCCCCTACCCGCAGCTCCAGTGTCCCCCATGCCTCGGTTCCTCTTGCTGCAGCTGGGCAGGAAGCACCAGCCCTGTTTATTGCATCGCTTCAGTGCCCGTCTGCTTGATGAATATTTGCCAAACCCCACTGCGGGAAAGCTGGCATGGAGGTGGGGGCTGCACCACCTCCCACCACCTTGGGGCAGCTGCAAAACTTCCCCCCGGAAGAAGAAGATGAAAAAGAGTAAGAAAGGTTCAGTTCCCTAGCCTGAGTTTTGCCCTGGGCTCTGCCACCTTGCTGCAGACCTTTCTGCCCCAAACGCCAGCCTGGCAGGGACCTCCTGGCTTCTCCTCCCTGCCCCAGAGCTTCTTCCAGGTCCACACTACCCTGTTCACCTCCAGCACCTACATCCCTGCAGGACAATTCTCCCCTCCAGCCTAACTTAATGTGTTTCTGAGATGGGGAAGTGCACCTTTTCTGGGCTGTACATTGGGATATGTGTCCGTGTCACCTGGCCATGGTTTTTTGGTATTTCTAACCAGAGACTGGGCTGGTCCCTCACCCTGAAAGCCCTCAAAACCCTTAAAGCCAAGACCTTCACAGGTGGACTGAGCTTCCCCTGTCCAGTCTTGAAGCCACCATGAGAGCTAGGATGAAACCCCATGACCTCGAATCCATGCTAGACTGATGTCTCCACCCAACAGAAACCCTCTAAGTGCCCTTTCTCCCAATGGCACAAGTTTCCCCAGCTCAGGGTGGGATCTGCTGCAGTTTTTGTGAGTGTCCCTGTATGAAGCAAGAGGGGTTGGAAGGGGACAGGAGCTGTGCCCTGGGTTTAGTGCTGCTTCTCTGTGGGGATGCAAAGGGGAACAGCACAGAGATGTTCACACAGAGACCCCAAATCACACCCAAAAGCCTTTTTCCTCCCATTTCTCCTCCACTTCTCCTCACTGAACCCCACAGAGCAATGGAACGTGGCTTGGCTGCGGCCTCAACAATGTCCCGTCCCAGTCCCCCGGTCTCCAAGAGAAATAAATGGTAAAAACCCAAACCCCACAACCCCTCTTTCCTGCCACC